TGTCATGCATCACTTTCAATGTACCATGAGATTTTTATTGCAGATATTAACAGAAAATGTAATAGAAATAATAATTTCTCTTTAAGCATATATCTCATTTTGCCTTCTGTGATGCCTGCACTGTTAGAAGGGCTTACTCCAAGTGCTGCGCTCCCCCCCCCCCCGATTTTCTCAATCAATCTAAAGTGGAATTTCCAGCTAGGCCTACATAAAATACTTTGGCATACTTCAGGGACTTTAATTTCAAGGGCTTCCAAGGACTATTATCTCTACATCAATGTGAAAATATATATTTACTTTTTGGTCACTTTTTAATTGTTAAAACTTTTGAGAACATTTATCAGTAAATAGTTTGTTAAATGTTTTAAATAATGTATTTCTCTAATTACTATTAAGCTGATTATAGGACTGTCATTACAGTTCAAGCTCAAGAAATAGTCAAGGAAAGTTACAAATAAATATATTTATGCTGTAATTGGTGTATTTTTTTGTGCCAAGTGTTTTATTTTATCTTAATTTCATACCATTGTGGCCCAATTTTTTTTTTACTTGCCCTTCATTGAAACTATATTCTAGAGCAATTGATGATGCTTTAAAAATCAAATATATTTATGGTGATATATTGTCCACATCTAATTTAAATCCCATTAGATTCTGTGAAATTTATCCCTATGTACTATAAGTGTATAGGATTGCAGCCTAGATCTCTATTAAAAATAAGATGGTCTTAATATAGTACCTGAATACAGATATTCATACTGTATATCAAAATCGACCTGCTTTATCTCTTATAACTGAATTAATGAAAGCCCAGTTTTCTGTGTAAAAGTAAATAAGGAGCAAGGAACAATTTTGAGAGCAAATGTTACATGTATCCATAATAGGACATAAAGAATATTTATCATGTTGCAAATTGCTAGGAAATTATGTCAGAATTTTCTTGATGCTTTTATGTTTGCCATCTGTATTATGGTTTGCAAGAGCAGCAATTTTGGATACTGCAGCTTGTGGTAAAATGGATTTATTAATTATAATTGGATATGTCTTGTAGCAACTCCTTAATAAACACACTTGTTCACAAAATAAATACATTTGAAAGTTAGGAACTGGATTAAATCAAGTTTAATTAGATCTTCTTTCCTGAAGGGTTTAAATGACTTGTATCATGCCATCCTGATCACAGTGGTTAGGCTCCTAGTGTGCTTTTGTTGTCTCGCTGTCAAAGTCTTGCAAAAGAGATGAGCCAGAGGCAACCAAATGCCACACAAGGAAGGACTGGAGAATTATCTACATACTGAAAATTGGAGCAGTCAGGTACCCTCATACGGGACTTTGCAGGAATTCAGAAACCTTCTGGTACTACCTGACTTACTGTATTTTGGATTCTAAGCTAAGCTTGGCAGACATAGCTCAGCTAAAGAAGAATCTTTATTGCAGAGAAGGACAAATGAATGAAGCCCTGCAAAACAGTTCATTGCCCGTTGCTATTAAGAATATGCAAATAACGTTTATAACCTCAGTAGTTTAAAGTTGTTATTTATTCTGCACTTCGCATGAATTAATGGAATCTTTACTCAGCAAGCCATGGCCTTGAAACCAAGAGATGGTGGTATGTTTATATACAGTAAGCTTGAGAATTGCTAGTTCCTGCTTAAGCTCTCAAGGTAACCTTTAGGGTTTGGTGTGTGGTTAGGAGGCGGTTGTGAGTCTATCATTTGAGAACTGAAGCTTGGTTCTATGAAATCAGGAATATGAATATCTTGAGCAAATGAAAGCAGTGTTTAATGGACTTTTAGTCTTAAGAGCTCATCTGCACTTCCTTCTTGTCCCAACATCAGGACAGGCCACCTGCTGTTTCAGGAGAGCAGGAACAAATGTCGTCTTCCTCAGCCCATCTCTAGAGTGTTGGAAAGGGAATTTCCATCTGAGATTCTAGCTCTGTATCAAAAATAAGTTTTTTCCTCCTGCTGATGCAAGCAGGACCATCTGGTCTACCTGCTATGCTTCATCCAATCCTATTCAAATGCCTTTGTGCCAACTAGCTGGTGTATGCTCTGGCAGGTATGACCTACTCGCTCTCTGCCTTCAATGGCCATTTTATGCTGGGTTGCCTGCTATAAAAGGCTGCACCTTTTGGTTATGTGTTTTTTAAACTGGTTCAGTACAAATAGTCCTTGACTTACGACCACATTTGGCACAGGAATGCAAATAGCCTCTGGAAATGAAGCAGACCTTCTTATTTTAGTAAAGGTGAAAGTCAAAACATGTTTTCACTAAGATCTTTTAGAACTATGTGTCGTTATGACTGCCTTATTTTTCTTATCATCCAGTCTGGAGGGCATGTACAGTTTCCAAAGAAATAAACATGGTATCCTCCTGCCATGCCTACATTTGATAGTTCATGTTTGATAACTGCATGGGTCCATAGATCTGTCTTCACAAAAGTGAAGAGCGCTTATGCTATGATATTATGACAACTAGTTATGGTTCTTGACTAAAGATGCTGACCTCAATATGGACATCACTGAGCAAAATAATTCCAGCTAAGGTGGACTTTATTAACACTGTCATGGATTAAACAGAAACCATGGCTTCATAACATACTCCATGCATTATTTATTATCACCCAATACATGAATCAGATCATCATGGAAAAAAATCGGTCTGTGTGGTTGCTAGGAGTCAACAATGACTTGATGGCACATAATCATCATGAATACAAGAATACAGTGGAACCTCGGGTTACGAACGTTTCTGTTAATGAATTTTTCGGGTTACGACCAGCTCCGGCTGCAAAATTTTGCTTTGGTTTGCGAACTCCGCCTTGGGGTACGAACAGGATACGTGGCCATTTTCCCTCCCGTGACACAGTCCGCGGCCATTTTTCTGCCCCTGACACGTGGTCCGTGGCCATTTTTCCACCCCTGACATGTGGTCCGCGGCCAGTTTCCTCCCCTGACACGTGGTCCGTGGCCATTTTTCCACCCCTGACATGTGGTCCGCGGCC